AGAGACTCTCCGGCGTGCCGTCCGATCCGACGCGCCGCACCTCGAGGAGGAGGGCGCCCTCGCCTTCGTTGAAGGGGCCCCGCTGCGTCACAATACCATAAGAGGGCGCTACACGTGTATGTCTGTGGCTAAGCTGCATGTGAGGTGGTACTGCATGTGGTGTTTAAAATTAAGAAATAAATAGCCTATTCGAAGACCAGCGCTCACTCCGCAGCAGTGCCGAGGTTTAAGTAAGTTTCATTCAGAAGTAAAGATTCTCTCCATCACCTGAATGACTTTGAGCCACCAAAATGCTTTCGCGGCCGACATGTCCAAACGTCGAAAGTTAATACTATCACTTAGCAGGTTGCCCAGTTTACGGACAGCATAGCACTAGTACTAGTAGAAGTAGTAGGCCGAGGCCTACTCGTCGATTTCCATTTACGGATGTGACGGACACCAGTAATTATTCCCTACAGTGACCTATTTGCCATCAGAAAGCAAAAACATGTCCAGGAAAGTTCAATTTACGGGGGAAAATACCATGTCCTTTACTGGGAAATCACTTAGGTCCTAGAATTTTTCAGACCAGACACGAGGCCTACATAGGGTTTGTGCACAGGGTGTCAAGTGGCGTTCGTACCTATGAGCCATTTTTCATATCATCTACAAATTATATGTCAGTCGTCTTCCTTTTTAAAGAAAATTTTTGCCCGTGCTTTCAAACTATTGCAGATTTCTGGAAATCATGACCAGTAGCATCATAACGTGTCTGGCATGGGTGCCTCAAGGTGCAGCCAAAGAGAACCCAGAAAAGGTACGTACATGACTTTTATTGAGCTTGCTGGGATGAACTAGGGGAGGTGTTTCAGGGGACCACTGATCTACCCTACCATTTTGTCCTGGGGGCAGTTCACCCCTCTAATTTCAAAATCCCTTCGCCGCTTTTTTTTGTGTTATGTGGACTCAATGCAGAAACAGTGATGGCTATGTGCAACATCTAAGAGAATTCCAGTAGATGTGACATTACTGCATGCTTGTGTTGACATGAATGTTTGATGCACTATGCACAACAGGTTTTCATTACAATGTGCACAAATCCACACAGCACTTAATACCTTTGTGTGGGCATTGAGCACACGACAGCAACAGCATTCAATTGACTGTCTAAAGTCATGTCTTTGAACTTTAAAATCTTATGCAGGTTCAGATGAACTCGGATGACATCCAGGCTTTAGTGGAGAAATCCAAACCGACACATAAGCGTGCAGCTGAGCTAAGTGATGAGGGAGCCTCAGGCAGCAATGAGGTCACTCAGTCAGGTGTCACCATGGAAACAGAAGATGATTTAGCTGAATATGATTTGGATAATTATGACAGTCCTGACAGCGACACTGGTGGTAAGCAACAATTAATGGCAATTCCAAAAATTGTGAGTGGGTTTAGAGGATTTCCTTATAAGGATTAACCCTAACCACACTGGACAAATTGGTTAGAAACTTTGCTGGACACATCTTTGTTCATTATTTGTCGAAGTGACTTGCCTGCAGAGTGCTGCAAGATACAGTAGGTCACCAACCCAAAATGCCAAGCTCTTGGAGGCTTGAGAGGCAGCCTGCCAGCCACCACAGTACCTAACACTGGCACCCATTCAGTGGGACCATTTCCAATTGGCTCAGCCTGGACAGTTTATTTGGCTGCTGTTGGTTCCCCATTGCAACAAAGTGCACCAGACTTTTACGCCTTTTGCACTTTGGTGGATCCTGCATTGTTTGGGTGAAGTCACAGCCATGTTATGGGTGCTTGAATGTTTCTCTGGACTCTTGGAAAGTGATTTTCAGAAGGCTAAGGAAGCTAAGGAAGTTTCCCACATGTAACTTAAAAATTCAGACAGTTGAAACCTTTGTTATGTATACCTCACGTTTAAGTCCAAGGCCGTTTTCTATACATTACCTCTTGCTCATACATGTATTTCCTCAGGACAGGATTCCTTCAGTGGTCTGGCCATGTTTGCCAGCAATCGAGATGACCCTTATATGACCCTTCAGGAAGATGAGGTAATGTGCGTACAGGTGCACATAGGACTTTTAAAACAAGTGCTTGGTAATGCTGCAGCATGCCTGGCAGCGTCTGCCCTGCATTCTGTATACTTCCATCACTATTGAATTGCTGCATTTGTAATCAACAGGAATTCTGTTTCTGCCCTTTTTGTACATTTGGAGGTTTTCAAATCACTCACTATGAACACGTGCTTTGTACTGAAGTGTTGGTATGGTTGTGAAGTATACAGTTTTCTTCGTAGTATCTAAACTGTACAGATATCTTATATTTTTAAGAAAAATGTGCAACTTCATTTTCAACTCGTAAGTACCTCTGAAAGTTGAGCCATTTCTATGGCTGAGCCATTATCAACGTCCACTCTCCCGACCAGTCTTAAATGAACGTTTAAGATAGACAGAGCAAATATGTATCACTTCATGAAAAGCCTTTTAATTGTGCACCCCCCCCCCAGGAAGACCGAGATGACTTGGAAGACCTTGTCATCCAGCCCAGGGACAATCTGATTGTTGCCGGCAGGGCACAGGAAGATGCAAGCTGTCTGGAGGTGTATGGTGGGTACTCCAGTCGAGGGATGTGTCCATTTCTTGGGGTTGGGCTGATTGTAATGGTCCGTGTCTAATTTGGACTGCCTGTTGATTGGATGCAAATATTAAAGAAATGTGCCAACCACATTGTTTTTGGCTTTGTTCAGGCTGAGTCAGTCCGATGTGTACATGTAAGTTACACTCGAACGTAGCTCCATGTCTCCTTTTGAAAAAGTCTTCAAAGGTCTTTTCGCAACTTTGGAGTTCCTAGTTACATTCTGTTTTGTTGTTTTTTTTTTTGGCTGTTCATGTTTGCACAGTGGTCTTTTAGTAGCTTGTAGAATATGCATTCCATGCGTACATTCATGTACGTAAGCCTGGACGTTGCAATGTTGATTTATCAAATAAGCCCTATCTGCCTTCTTCAGTCTTTACCCTCGTCCCTTTTGAAATTATCTTGAATTTTAAAGAATTTGAAATATCAGCTTGGACATTTCCAGTTCTTTATCGTGTTTCACTCTTTGTACAGTTTACAATGAAGATGAAGGCACCCTCTATGTTCACCACGACATTCTCCTTCCATCATTCCCTCTGGCTGCCGAGTGGATGAACTTTAACCCCAAAGACTCCACACCAGGTGAATGTTATCTTCACATCACCACTTATAATGCAGCACGTTAATTCGAACATTTCTTAATGTTTGGATCAGCCGTACCAATCTTCGCAAGTACTGTTTGGGTTCTCTGTACACTTAGGCTTCTGACACTAGTGTAGTCGGAAAGAGCTGCATTGTAAAGCTGGGAAGTTGCTTTTCCATGCATAAATACCTGTAGCCATGGGAGAGGGCCCCCTGGTGAGAACCTGGCCTCGTCCATCTCCCCAAAAAACAGTTCAAAGCATCAATATTACCTATTGTTCTTGTGGTGTCCCCAGACTAGTATTATGGCTGTCCTTAATGCCTGAAGCTAGCAGTGGGGCTGTATGCATAGGTAGGTTGGATTGTATGCATAGGTAGGTTGGATTTGTCTGAGAGGTAGTAAATCTATGTCCTGACTTTGTAAAACTCTGAAGGAAAAGTTGTGGGGAGATTCCCACTTTAGAGCTTTAGGGCTGTGCCGAATATCCAAATAACTGAATGGTCAATTGATTGTCGAATATTTGAGTAGTATTTTTTTCGAATTTGAATATTCGAATTTACTCAGCCCTAGAGAGCTTCTGATGCCTGAGTGTTGTGATAAGTGGTCTCTTCTATGCATTTTCTTACTCGTTTTTCAATACCTAAGTGCCCCCCATAAAAAAAATCTTCACAATTTAAGTCAGTTGTTTGATCCTCTCTTGATTGCCTTGTGTCTATCCTCCTTTGTGACATGAACATCTGACTCTTATTTGTAGGCAAACTCTATGCAGTACAGCTGTTTATCAGGCACTTTTTTGTTTGATGCAGGCAACTATGTGGCCATGGGTTATATGACCCCAGTCATTGACGTGTGGAACCTGGATGTGGTTGATTGCCTGGAGCCAGCTTTTACCCTGGGAAAGAGGAAAAAAAAGTCCAAAAAGGTAACTTGAAATTGGAAATGAAAAGTCAGTGGACAAAACTAAGCTTGTTTTGGGGAATTTGCAAACTTTTCAGCAGCAGAAAAAAAACGTCTGATTATTAGGACAGAGTTGTAAGTATAAAAAAATGACAGAGTGAAGGATTCTGTACTTGACAGATGGCATTCATGTCCATCAAGTTTAAAAATGAACCCATTTTTAAACAAGTTAAAAATGCTTTCTTGATTTTGCCCAGTGATTCAGGAATGCATTCTTTTATAATATGTCGCCCCTAAATCTGGCAGTTTGGTGTATGGAATTTAGAATTTATCAAAGATTTAATTCTCTCTGGCACTTTTTAGCATAGGCACTAAATTTACTGTTGAACCTTGTTTGCAGAAAGCTCCCAAACCCACCGAAGGCCATACAGATGCCGTGTTGGACATTGCATGGAACAGGCACGTCCGTCATGGTCTGGCGAGCGCTTCAGCAGACAACACTATTGCATTGTGGGATATGGCGCAGCAGAAAGTCTTGTCCCTACTCACTCACCATTCTGACAAAGTAAGAGAGATGGTAGTCTGTATTAGGTCTAACTTTAGTCAAGCCTAAAAGAATTTTGTACCCAAAATAAATGGACCGATTTCAACAAGTCGTAGGTAGCACCTTCGGTTGAAGGGGGTAATGTGTAATACGCGCTCAATTAAAATGGAAAGAGATGCTGTGAAAAGATTCACACCCCACCTTTTTTGGAGGAAGAGAGAATAACCTTAGCAACATTCGAAGAACTGCCTCAACACTCTGAATCTGTGTTAGGCGTATAATATTGAAGCATTTTTCCGGAACCTAATGTGATTTGATTTTCTCCTCTGTAGGTACAGACGGTCGCATGGCATCCATTTGAGGCACAGTCCCTGGCTAGCGGCAGCTTTGATATGTAAGTATGCTTGTATGTCTAGCTGAGCAGCCGGTGAACAAATCATCCGTGGATAGACAAGGGCTGACGATGTTGAATTCCTCCAAGGAGGACAGACTTTTGTTGGGTTATATCACCTTTTTTGTGTGCGTGTTTAACAAGTGAGTGTATTTGTCACAGGTCTGTAAAGGTGTTCGATTGTCGAAGTGCACACGACAGCTTCAAAACGTGGTCACTGGATGGTGAGATTGAGCGAGTCATATGGGACCTCTTCCAACCTTTCCATTTCCTGGTCAGTAAAGTGAGGGATCTCTTATTTGCCTGTTTCACCTGACAATATATGTAGATTTCATGTGATGGTATGTGAATGCACTTGACAAGATTATGCCCGAACCAGCGTGTAGCTATTGACGTCGTGCTTTAACAATAGTTCACACTGTGCGGCCTACATGAGAACCAGTGAATGGCATTCTCCATGCTTGCATCAGCCACCATGCACCTGACCATATTTCGTCTGAATACGCACAAATTTGTAGCATCTTTATCACAGGGGATCTCATGAAGGCAAAGGGCAGCAGTGGTATGTTTTTTAGAAAAGCCTGACTATTGGGGACTACCTGCGTATGGAGTCAGAGTTAAAAAAAGCCAGTTTTCCCGGGTAGTGATGTACATGTAATTTCTAGGTTTATTTTTGGCATCAACGTGCTGAAAAAAATCTTTGCCACAAAGTTGAAAAGAAGTTTTGTCAAGCTTTTTTCTTTTTTATACCTGTAGGCCAGCACGGACAAAGGCAACGTTTATTGCATGGACGTGCGGACAGACAAACCTGTCTTCACATTGAAAGCTCACGATGATGCAGTGACAGCACTGAGTCTGAGCACCGAAGTGCCGTCCTGTCTGGTCACTGCCTCAGCCGATCATCTGTACAAAGTGTGGGACATTAAGGTAAAGCAGGGCTTCAAATGACATAAGCGTGTGGGGGCCTGCTTATTAAATTGTTCAATATTTTAGGTTTATGATAGTGTGCATGTTGCAGTAAGAGCAAAGCATGTTCAAAAGGTGACTAAATTCTTTGAAAACGGGTGGGCACTTTATTACAAACATATACACAAAATATGGTAATTTTGCTTTTTTTTTCTGAAGTTGAACATCTTTCGAGCTGGAAATTAATGGTTCAAGTGTATCGTACGTCCATGAAAATGTTAAAATATATTTATCTAG